GGATCTGCCCTGAGGGGAGGTGCTGGTCAGGCTTCAAGGAAGAAGTGGGTGTGGTCCTCACCACAGACCCATACAACTCAGCCTGACCCAAAATTTGTCCAAACCTTTGCAGGGCAGAGCTGCTAGGAGTCAGGCAGCTGAGCTTGGAGGCTGATTCTACCAGATGCCAGAGAGGATCTCCCATGAGAGGAAATTGACAGTCAGATTCATGGGAAAGTGGGGAGCCAGACAACTCAGTCACTGACATTCTCTGAGTCTGCCCAGATCTCTACAACCTGGGAAAGACAGCTGACTCCTCAGCAGGGCCTAAGCTCTTCAGAGTGGGGTGAGATGGAATCCAGAGAGTGGGGTATTGCTTTCCCCCAGGCTGATGCTACAGAGAAGGGAGTGCTCCACCCAGGAAAGACAGTGACTGCATTATATGAAAATGACTCAGCACAGGAATCTTGGTCCCCCTAGGTTTCTCCCCAGAGCCACAAACCCAATACTCTCCTCACACAACTATAGTGTGCTTTGTCCACCCCCTGCCAGGACCCAGAGTGAATTGTGGAGAGCCATTCAGGGTGAAGGGCCAACAAAATTTTGTGTGTTGGCCCCTTATGGGAGTGCCTGTGTCTTCAGTGGACTCCTTTCACTTTCTGGTGGATAGAAATCCTGCTGCTTTTCATAGCCAGATGTTATGTGGATATATCTTCCTGGCTCTGGTGCTCTGGGCTGGGGAGCCTAGCTTGGGGTTTAGGCCTCACACGTCTCAGGGGATCCCCTGCAGCTGAGATATTCCTCTGGAACCTTAGCTTCTGCTCATGGGAGCAGAACCAGCCTTTTCCACATCTCCATTCTTCCTATCAGTCGCAAGGTGACTTCTTCTGTAAATACTTGGTTACAAGACTCCTCTTCATCTAGCCTTCAGTTCGCTAGTCAGGATGATTGTTGTTTAATTTAGTTGTAATTCCAGTTTGGTCCTGGGGGAGGTGAGTGAAGCTTTCACCTACTTTGCCATTATCTTGAAGAAGAAAAAAATAATGTCTCATAAGCCTTTTGGATGGCAATGGATGATTTGGTTATTTTTGCTTTTCATTTCACATGTTGAAGCAATCATCATATCAAAGACAGTTGGCATAAAATAGGGTCTACCAGTCCAGTTCTGCTAGATGCAGCAGTTCTTAGAAGTTACAAATTCAGTTTCCTGAATTTGCTGGCCATTTCTGTTAGCATGGGAAAAATAAGGTGCTAGGAGCCTCTTTCAGTCATTTGCCACATTGAGCATTACTAAAGCTGCAATTAGAACAACACATTGTCTGAGCTTCCCACGTGCCCATCTTTTCTTCTACCACTCCCAAAGGAGGTTAAGAAAAAGTTTATTGCCCATGGCATTCTTCTCATACTTTATAGTTTCTCAGCAGCTCTCACCAAGTTCACATATGATTTTCTGAGTTGTTGAGGTCTTGACAGTCAGAAGAGCCTAAATAGAAAGATGGTCATAGAAGCACACATACAACTGCTTAGAGAGAGGGAAGGTGATGAGCTGATTAAAACTGAGAGTTTGCAGTGATGAAAAACTAATAAAAGGCACAGATTCAAAAAGTAGTTATTTGGAGGTCAGCAGATGTAAAATGTGAGAAAGGAGCAGAACTAGGCTGTAGAAGGAAGAAGTCCTTCTAGGGCAGTGGTTTTTAAATCTATCTCAGGGAACACTACAGCTCTGTGAGTGGTTACTAGCAATTCCATAAATAACAACAAAAAATAGCTGTAGCAAGAATCATGGAGGCCCTATGAGCAAAATTTTTTTTTTAATTTTCCACAATTAAAGTAAACTTGGCTCATGAATCTTCATTTCCATTTGGTGCCAGCAAAAAGAAAGATCTTGCTAGTTCAGAGTTGTTTAGACTCCACTCTACTGGTTCAAGACCCAGTCTCCTTAAAGCAATATAACAATCTATTAAAAATTCTTTCCTTTCCAAATGCCTTCTTCCTGTGGATGGTAATTGGAGTCCTTTGGGGTTGGTGGAAGAGAAGGGCATACTCAAGGCTTAAACCTTGTTCTGTCTGGAATCCAGGGAGGGGTTATATTCATAGGTCATTCTCTGTATTTATTGACCTCAGCTGATATCACCATTGCCCCTGATATCACCATTGCCCTATAGTCCTTAGCTATTGGAGCTCCTTTTGGTGTTGGCCTTTTCAGCCCCTTTGCAACCTCTTTGAAGATTTAGGCACTCTGAGTATTTTGGGATGCACTGGACTTTGTCTTCAGACACAAGCAGTTCTGTTGTCAGTGCTGTGCCTTGGCATGGGCCATGCTGGACACAGGGCTTTTGTATGACACTGGTGGTGTCTAAGATACACCCTGGAAGCCCAGCAGTGCTCCTCTCTTCCAAGATTCCCATCATTCCTCCCTTTTAGGAGAGGGCCAGTGTTTCTCACATTTGGTGGTAGTGAAAAATGGGGGAACTATGCTACCCCTCAGACAACTTCTGGGGTCAATAAACACCAGTCATCTCCCCTCTGCTTTTCTTCCCATCCATTGGTCAACTCTGCTCCTTTGAGTAGGAAAAACAATACCTGTACATCAGCATATATTTTTCTGAAGTTAATGGTTATGATATAAAGTCAATGCTCAAAGTTCTTCAACACTTGGCTTTGGAGAATTTAAGGAAAAAAGCATAGTAATGCTTCTTCTTTAAAGCTTTCAAGCCAGTGTTCATGTTTATAACAAACAATCCTTCAAAATGTTCTGCCATATAGGCCAAAGGAAATGTTTTATTTTTCAGGTAATCAGAAACGGTTGTACTGGTCAATGTGATTTTATTTCATGTGCATTATTAGGTTTCCTCCCCCAAATGGTTCCATGATCTGAGCAGCTTGACAGGTGAGAGATATACTGAAAATCTTTAGGAAACATGGTCTCTCGTAAGGAATATAGTCCCAGGGGTGGCAGACAATCAGGTCTTCCACTTGATTAGAGTTTCAGAGGTGGGATAGTAGTGAGGAAGACACACTCCAGAAGGTGTCCTAAGGCTATGGAAACTCTGTTTCTTGTAAGTTTCTAGCAAACACATCTGTCTCCATCTTCATGAAGTGGTGTGTTTTACACAGAAGCACACACTTGCATTCAGAGCATTTGTGCAGTGCTGAAAACACAGCAGAGAGTGATATAGGAGTGACAGTATGCCCCTCATGAAGCCTCCAACCCAGAAGGTGGAGCAAGGTAGGTGGACACTTGTGTTACCTAGGAAAGGGAACAAAAGGAGGAGAGAGAGAAAGTGCTCAGCATGGCTGAGTAAGGGAGGAGGTAAATTCGAGGTCTCAAATAGAACAGTGGTAGAAGGTGAGAAGGTGAGGTCTTCAAATCCCATTGCTATTTCTGGGAGTGTTTGAGAGTCCTACTTGAGCCTAGCTAGCAGCTAAGTGTTTAGCAGGGCATTTGAGGTAGGGGTAGGTGGGAGGTGTCAGACTGTAAAGAAAAATGAAAGTATAATTTCATATCAACATTATCATACAAATCAATTTTACTTTCTACTTGTAAACTATTCAAAAAGCTTCATTATATAAACAGTAAGACCAATTTATGTTTGTCAGCATATGGCTTCAGGCTAGTTCAGCAACATGGAGCCAGGCTCACCTGTTCATTCATTCACTGAGACGTGGACCTATGTGCTGAGGTAGCTTCAGGTAGAGGGTTGTGAGTAAGGATATCACTAGGGGGCTTGTAGGAGCAGTTGTTCACAACCCTGGCTGGACTGTGGAATCACCTGTAAGCTTCACAAACACTGATGTGTGTGCCTCGGTCCCAAAGATTCTGAAAAGACTGATCTGGACTGATCTATCTCCCTGGTGATTCTAATGTATAATCAAGGTTAAGAGAACCAGCACTCTCAAAAGGGATACTAAGAGATGATACTTCTGATAAATTATGATAATATTATATCACCGGCTTCAGATTTGAGCCTGTTCCCCTGAGAAAGAGGAACCATACAAGCTCTGGAATCAGATTTTTAAAACATAAGAAACTGTCATTATGCCAGGCTGCAAAGCTGTGTTAGGGCTAATGAATTACTGCTGCTTGTTCCTTTATGCTTTTCTTCAGCCCAGAATTTCTGGGGCAGCCAAGGTTAACTCAATTCTTGAGTTTCTGATGGGGATATCAAGGCGTGGAGTAGGAAAGCAAGACCCTGCCCAGCCTGGAAAGGTTACAGGAAGGGATGGTGTTAGGAAGGAAGCAATCATTTACTTAGTGCCTCCTGGGAAGATGGCCCAGTAAGCCCTCAGAACAAGCGTGGCTCCAGTCACTTGCTTGAGTGGCCTGCAAAGAGCAGGTTTCAGGCTCTGCCAAGACTCCAGCCCTTCCCACCCTGCATGGAGTTTTAGGTATGACCCTGGCCATTCCTTGCATTTCTCTGAGTAAGAACTTCCTTTGCAAAATGAGTCAGTGGGAATAAGTGGGTATTAAGCGTAAGAGAACACCCAGATTGGCAGAGAAGACTAGTATGAAGACTGTGCCACCTGTTAATTGCTTTTTCATATGGAATATACCCATAACAATAAAAGTATCAGGTGACTGGTGTAATGTTAACTGTTTCCACAGGTTTACACTAATTGCTCATTTAATCTCTCCAACCACTCCATGAGATAGGAGCTGTTAGGATCCCTTTTCACAGAACAGGGAACGAAGTTACAACGAAGTTAGCGACCTGTCCAAGTTCACAAAGAGCTGGGGACAGGCTCTCTCTCAGGCTCCAGGAACACAAGTGTGAGTTTTTCCGTCCGGCCCGACCTCCGGTCCAGGGGCTTCGCAGTAGGGTGGCAGCCCGATTGCGACGTCTAGGTGAGAAGACCCAAATTACTTTGAGGGGGGGCCTCGGTCGCTGCCTCCCGGGGTCCCGGCGGCCGACGGGGTGCGGGGACGCCAGCGTGGCGGCCAGCGGCCGGAAGGGGTCGGCCGGGGGTGGGGCACCGGGCCAGCTCACTGGCTGTCCGGTCTGGCGGGGCCTCGCAGTCTCCGCCTTCTGCCCGCCCCAGCGCCCGTGGAGCTGGAGCCGGCGGTCGGGCCTTGCAGTCCCGGTAGGCAGGTTGGGGTCCTGCTCCGACGCTCCGCCGGGAATACGCCCGAAACTGGCCCCCGGCAGCGGCCGCCGGAGGGATTGGTGTGGGCCAGCGCCCCCAGGAACGGCGGGAATGTGACTGCTCTGCGCTGTGGCCGGAGCTCCCTCTCTCTGCTCCCAGGGTCCCGGCAGGGCCGGCTTCCACCCCGCACGCCCCACGGGCTCGCCACGGTAGGAAGCTGGTGGGGCGGGGTCACTGGGGGAGGGCAGCTTGTGGCTTCGTGGAGGCACCTCTCCTTTCTGAAGCACGGGGAAAGCGTCCTGTTACCCCTGGTCTTCAATTTGTATGTGGGGGCGGGGGCGGTTCTTCTTTGTTTCTGTTCCTGTTCGGAGCAGGATAAAGGTTCAGATCCCTTTTGGGGAAGGGGACTTGGCAATCTTTCTGGGAAATTGTTGTAGGTGCCTATGTGAGGGTGTGTGTGTGTGTGTAAAAACTGCTTCCAGGCGTTATAATCCGACCAAGTTCAACTGGTGTAGGAGTGACCCTCTTAGGGGTACAGGAGTTTACCTCTTACTCATTTTTAGGTTGAGAATGATCAGGCTCCTTAACAAAATGAGAGATGAATTCTCTGACCACAGTGGGGTAAGGTAACTTGCGAACCCTCTACATCAAGGATGATGCTGGGTGGTATAGCTATAGACACCAAGAAGACTTTTGGTATCCCCAACAGGCATGTCCAGCACTATACATTTTTTAAGGCCCTTTATAGTTGTTGCTCGTTCATCCTTCCATCAGTCTTATGAGAGAGATGCTGTTAACACCCTCCTTTTACATCAAAGGAAGCAGAAGCTTAGCAAGGTGACTAATTTGGAGAATGGGCACCCAGAGGAGAGAGAGAATTCTGAACTTCAAACACTATGCCTTCCACTTTATGGCAGAATGCTTCCCAACAATCCCTGTTTACCAGGCTTTTCCCTCTGTTCAGCTGGGAGGGAGGAATGCTGCCAGCAGGGTGTGTGGGTGTGTGGATTCCTGCCAGGGACAGTTGTCTACAGAGTTTCCTGGATGCAGGGGGTGCTTGTCAGATGGGCATGTTCGAGTGGTTTTAGCTCCAGAGCTTAGAAACCAAGTAAGGGTCACTGATGCTGTGGAGAAAAGATAAGCTGAGATGCATCCAACATGGAATGTGATGTCTGGGTCACCTGGTTTGGTGCCAAGCTTCTGGAAGGTGCTTGCTGGAATGTACAAAATGGACCCCTCTGTGCCTGTTGATGAACTGAGGAGAGGCAGAAGTGGTGCTAGGGAAGTTGATTACCTTTCCTCTCTCCCAATTTACTATGCAGCTATAGGATGGGGAATTGACAGGAGCAAAGATGTGGACCACTGGTCTGTTTCCTGTCTCATTTGGCTCACTGACATTTGGCACTATGTGAAGATCACCTGTACCTATCCACCTTTGGGTCACCTCCATGTGGTCCCAAAAAGGATAACTGACCAGCATTCTCGCATGACCAAACCCTCAATTTCTAGTAGGCTCTACTGAGCCTGGTATGGCACAATGTGGCAACAAGTCTTTCTTTATGGCTTTGAGACAAGTACCATTTTTTGAGTAATTCCTTTACTATTTGCAAAACACTTCTTAGTATTAGAATCATTTATTTATTGAACCAGTGCTTATTGAATGTCTGCTGTATGCCAGGTACTGTTCAAAGTACTGAAGATAGAGCAGTGACTAACATAGATGAAAATCATACCCTCTAACAGATACGTTCTGGGTGAAGTCATAGGACATATGCAGTTGCTCTGCATGAGGGGGTGCTATGAAGTTCTCCCCTTTGAACAGGGTGTGGGTATACTAGCTGTTCACAGGCAGGATACTACTTAGCATCTCCAGTGGAGAGAGCAAGAAGACAGTGGACACAGACACAGCTCCTTGATTCCCTAAAAAAACAGAAGGGATATTGAGATAGACTGTGGCTTGGCTGTGCACCTGGACCAGGACAGATGGGAAACTTGTGGCTGGGATGTACCAGGGGGAGGTGGGTGTCCACCTGGAAGCAGGTAGAGATGTTGAAAGAATGCCCCATTTTCAAATTGGCAAAACTAAATAATTGCTGTGACACTACCATAGTCTTGTGGATAGGGAGGTGCACAGATTTTATTATTATGCTACATGATAGACCCACTGTGCACTTGTGGCTTTCGAGAACAAAAGTCATCAGGGTGCACTGTGACTTCTTGGCCATAGCTCGGCCCCATGTTTCCCATCTGTTGCTATTCACAGGTGTTTGGTTTGTGTTTTCCTCTCTTTGAGGCTACCACGTGGGCTAACAGGATCTGCAATGTCAGCAGCTTTGTTTCCCCCACTGATTGCGGGCTGTGACCATTATGCACTGCTGCAGCCTCCTGGCCACGCTGAGCACGTGGGAGCATGCAGAGGGGCTCCGACACCAGAATGATCCCACCAAGTATGAAAGGGGCTGTGGTTACTGAAGGCCCCTGGTCACCACTGTCTCCTCTTTTCATGCATGTAGAAGAATAATGGAGATAATTTTTTTATTCCCACCTGTTCTGGGAGGGATTTATGAAATGCCATAAATGGATGGAACTGGAGAGCATAATGCTAAGTGAAATGAGCCAGGCAGCTAAAGAAAAATACCATATGATCTGACCTATAGGTGGAACCTAATCGACAAAACAAACAAGCAAGCAAAATATGACCAGAGACATTGAAATAAAGAGCAAATTGACAGTAACCAGAGTGGAGAGGGGAGGGCAATAACAGGGAAAGAAGGGAAAGGATCATCAAAGAACATGTATAAAGGACACATGGACAAGGCCAAAGGGAGGAAGGAGTGAGGGTGGGCAGTGGGGGTGGGTGGGGCAGGGGAAAGTGGTGGCAGGAAAAGGGAGACAACTATACTTGAACAATAATATAAATAAGTAAGTAAGTAAGTAAATAAATAAATAAATGCAATGAAACAAAATCAAGAGTACAGATCAAATGGAGACAAAGGGTAGAGAAAAAGCAGAGCCTGAGTCTAGAAATGAATACAGTAGTCCACAGTTTTACTCTCTATGGTTTCAGTTACTCATAATCAACCACAGTCTGAAAATATTAAATATTAAATTTCCAGAAATAAATTATAAGTTTTAAATTGTGTACTGTTTTGAGAAGTGTGATAAATCTCTCACCATCCCACTCTGTCCCACTGGGCTGTGAATCATCCCTTTGTCTAGTGTCTCCACGATTTATATGTTCCCTGTCCATTAGTCATAGTCACTTATCAGATTGACTGTCACAGTATTGCAGTGCTTTTGTTCAGCTCACCCTGATTTTACTTAATAGTTGCCTAAAGCTCAAGAGTAGTGATGCTGGCAATTTGGATATGCCAAAGAGAAGCCATAAATTGCTTCCTTTAAGTTAAAAGGTATGTATATAGAGTAAAAAACATACTATAGAAGAGGTTCAATATCATCCATGGTTTTAGACATTTACTGTGGATCTTGAAAGTATACCCCATGGATAAGGGAGGACTACTGTAAAGTGTAAACCTCACTGACTGAGCTATACATGTTGCCAAGTGGGGCTATAAATGCGGAGACAAAACCTGGTGCTCAGATCCTGTCTCTATCTTGGCACTGTGGGAAATGCCAGGGCTGGATCACAGAGCAAACATTCACATCTCCAGGGGTGTGCCCAGGCACTGGTATTTTTAAAGCCCCAAAATGGTTTTAACATGTACCCAAGGTTGACAACACCAATACACATTCCTGCAGGCTATGGGAGACAGGAATCCTGGCTGGGCATAATTTCTGTGTTTTCAAGATGGAAAAAAGTACTCAGGAGAAGTGAAAGCATTACTGGTACAGAGAAGCCAGAATTTTCTCTTGAAGGTCCCCTTTTGAGAACAAGTTAGAGTCTGCCTCCTGGAATGACTCCCAGTGAAAGTGGAGCTTGGTAACCGCATTTCAGCCAGACTCACTGTGCTAATATGGGGGGGGGGGGGGGATGCTGTTGAAGCCCTGTGGGCCCTGCACATCTGGCTTCCCAGACTAGAGAATTTGTGACCCTTGAAAATGTAGCCAGTGATTCTTGACCAGGAGTTAAATTAAGAGTTAGATGCTGTCACTTTAGTTTAGTGCTGTGCACCTTGTTCAAAACCTAATACTCCCTTTTAATGCAAATATTTTTAAATACCCTTATAAAAATTCTGAAGTAATGTAATAAAACTTACCTACAATATGTAATTAATATAATAGCAATATGTAAAAAGTATATAGAAGCAATTTGTATTAAATTTGTGTATTTCAGTGTGTGGATGCTTGGGCTGAGCCAAACTAGAAACTCATGAGATCACCAGATGCTTTATGTTGACTGACTGTAGGACGGCCACAGTTGCAGTGTGGAATAGATGGTCCTGGTGGAAAATCCAGATACCACTGAATGATGAATGACTCTTGGTCAAAGTCTCAATGGTATTCAAAGGCCAGTGTCTCCATTTTCACAGTGCATTGTTGGAAAGGTCAGTATGTATGAAAAGTGTGCCAACAATGCAGGAGTGGTCAAAAGTAGGTTTACAGTTGTTCATATGGCAAATACAATAATTAATTAATAACACAGGAATGAACTCCATGTTTCATGTACTCAGCATTATAAACCTACTTTTGACCTACCCTGCACATATTTTATATATGTGTAGGATGGAGTGAGCTGCTGGGCTCAAAAATGATAAATGACATTTTCCATTGGCATGAGTGTCTATGTGATGCCTGGAGTCATGCAAGATGAGGGACAAGTCTTAACTGGGCAGAACTGCCTTTCATTGTTCTAGAAATGTGGCATCCCTGGCTTTCAGCACTAAATGCATTGTTGTGATCACTATTCCCCACAATTTCCAAAATGCTTTCTCAAGGGCCATATTGGCCCTTTGAGAACCAGTGATATCCTCCTATCACTTGCTAGGAAGTGAATAAAGCACTGATCTACATGTGTGCCTTTAAGAAGCAGGGTTTGGGTATAAGCTAGCTGTCCAGGATGACTCATGTTAATTGTCCAAGTATCATGAAAATAATGATAGAAATTAAAATAGTGGGGGTCAGGAGCAATGAGGGGTGCAGTCTATTGTGAGCCAGGCTTTGGGACTGATCCATCTGCTGTTGGAAGATTGCTAAGCTTTCAGTGTTTCTTGGGATTTCAGTATTTCTGAGATATTGAATGTTTCTCTTGCTTCTGTCTTGGAATAGATTTGTTTGCTCATAGTTCTGTAAAGCTTTTTCTGGGGGGAAAATCTGAGAGCTGGTGAATACACAGTTGGGTTTTAGGATGTCTGTGTGGTGGAGTGTATGCCGCTCATCTCTGTAGAACAGAAACAGCTATGTCACATTTGGAAACTCCTCTAGGGTCACTTCCATGTTCTCCTTCGTCTCTTCCATTCTGGAAGCCTCCTCAGTAGTTAGGGTTAGGTGCCCTGTCTGTTTGACCCCATGGGTATGAGTTTGTGGGACCATGGTGCTAACATTTCTCACAATTGAGACAAATAGAGATGACTGAGTGTTGACAGAAGGCAGTGCTTCTCAGATTTTCCCACCAAAGGACTCCTTTTGGGAAATGAAGAATGAATGCTCAAATGAGTACCTCACCTTAAGAGCAGTTTCTTTGATGCTTTATGTTTTATCTCTTGGAGACTTTTCTTTTCACTTCAAAATATAGCCATGTTTTCTTTAATATAAAAATGATAACTCCCCCCAGAAAATATTTGGGTAAAGTCACAGACTTTGAGTTCTCTGGCTACCTATAATTTCTCCTTGGAGGTAAGTACAGAATTCTCAAATGTTTTCTTCAAGAACTTTATAAGTAAGTTTATTTATGCCTACTCTTTAAAACTGACATTTTGGTTTTAACAATATTGGAGACTGTTCAATAGCTGTTTGAACCCTTGTAACAGGTGAAGGTCATACTTTTGGGTCTTATTTTAATACCATAACCTATTCCCCATACATGTTTCTACTGATTCTTAATGGGAAATGGAGGTTGTGACATTTTGTGAGCTAAAGAACATAATTCAGTCCTTGCTTTTTCCAGGGACTCATCCACAGTCATTTTTCAGTTATAGTCAATTAGTGGGAGCCTGATTCTCTGAACATTTCTTCATCGTGTCAACCATACATATATGTACATGCTAATTAATGTTTGAGATATGAAACTTATTAAATTATGCTGTGTATTTATTGTTGAGGCACTCGGTGTAAAGAGTGAGTTGGTATAAGGTGGAATGTGGAAATTACCATTAGGATTTCCTTTTTAGTTGCAGAAGTGGGACTCTGCTACTTCTGGCCCCTGGAAGAAGGAGTCACCTAATATTGTATCTCTCTTCTTGGGTTTCTGCAGAGGTTTGGCTGCTGTACCTTCCCTTAGACCCACATAAGAGAGATTCCACCCAGGCCCTGGAGGGTCCTGTCCTGCTCCTCAGCCAGTTGCATGCCTTGGTATGCCAGGAGTCTGAAGGCCAAGAGCAGGTGCCCCCTTGGAACCCACCAGCACCTCCCTTTTGACCATGACCCATGGACTTAGAGGGACAGCTGGAATTTTCTGCCCAAATAGCATGGACTCTGATTTTAGGACCCCTGCAGGCCTTTGTCCTGGGCCATCCCTCATGGAATCCACTGTCTGTGTGCCTCTCTGATATGAAGAGTGGGCGGGGGCCTTATTGGGGTGATGGATGTGGACATCTGGGTTTGGATGTATACCTCTGCATGCTCAGGGCCACTCACTATGTGGGATGTAGCTGGAGGCAGGCTGAGGCATCAGGCTTGGAGGTTACCGTAGGTAGAAACAGCATGGGACACTGCTGTGTGCAGGCGCATTGTGGAACACAGGACATTGCCCCCAGTGCCAGGTGTCTCTGCTGCCACTGGCCCCACACTTGTGCTACCTGTTCACATATCCCCAGGATGTCGGGGGTATGTCTGATGTGTGCCACTCTGTCTGATGTGTGCCACTCTGTCCCATGCCTGGCTTTTGTCTTTGAAGGCAAGATTCACAATGTGGGGAAAATTCCTCAGGCATGAGAAGGAAATTCCTCAAGGTTGTTGGAAATTCCTCAAGAATAAGAAAGAGATAATTGGTACCATACAGTCATAAGGAGGAACAGATACTCCCTGCCCCTGCACTGGAGCCTGGGGTCTTGAGAAAGCTGCCTGGGTTGTTGTGACACCACTCTGTTCCCCAGTAGTTACTTTTCATTTGTATGCACTGTGTATGGCGTTTCTTGAAGAGTGATAGGACAGTGCTATAGATAAAGTCAGTCCTTCCTCGAAGTGGGGCTTCCTTTGGGAGCCAGTTTGTTCATTGTTAATTCTTATACCTAAACTCTGCCTTTGTAAATTAGTTCATGTTGAAATTTCTCGTTCTGGGTCTAGTAGGAAATTTCCTCATGTTTCAAATATGCATTTTCATTTTATCTTTAATAAACAAGTAGCTTTGTAGGTAAGTTCCATGTACCAAATAGTCATGTTGTCATACACTGATGTTTGATGATATGTCATAATTAGCAAAAAGTAATGGGAACTATATTTGGGAGGTTCATAATGGCCAGCTTTTGCATGTGATTGCCACAGAAAGCTGCGCTTCCTGTTTCCATACTTGATATCTTATAGTGAATGGACCAAGCTGCTGGAGGTGGGGGTGACTGGTCCAAGGTGACTGCTCTGGGCTGGGCATCATTACCTCTGTGCACCATCTCTACACATACATGTGCATGTCAGCTGGAAGCTGCTCTAGAGAGGGTGTTAGGGAATCCAGGAAATTTCATGTGTGATGTAGGTACTTCAGGTAGAAGTTGGAACAGTGTGTTTGTGCTGGTTAAATTCTGGTTAATTTTGTGGAGGAGTTAATCTTTTGCTTTTCTTTAATTGTTTTATGTGGAAGAAAGATTCATCCACATAGTCACACAGTGAAATAATTCTGTGACTTTTTATTATTGTCAGGATTTTCTTTTTTGAAATTATGCTTTATTGATTATGCTATTATAGTTGTCCTAATTTTTCCCCCTTTGCCCTCCTCCATCCAGTACCTCCCACTCCCTCAGGAAATCCCCCTACCAACTGTTCATGTCCATGGGTCATGCACGTAAGTTCTTTGGCTTCTCCATTTCCTATACTGTACCTTACATCCCTGTGGCTATTCTGAGACTACCTATTTGTAGTTAATCTGCTCACCTCTTCACCCATCACCCCACATCCACATCCCATCTGGAAACCATCAAAACACTCACCATATCCATGATTCTGTCTTTGTTCTTCTTGATTGCTTAGTTTTTTTTAGATTTAGTTGTTGATAGATATGTATTTTTTGCCATTTTATTGTTAGTAGTTTTTTTTTTAAGATTTTATTTATTTACTTTTAGAGAGAGGGTAAGGGAGAGAGAGAAAGAAGGAGACAAACATCAGTGTGTGGTTGCCTCTTGTGTGCCCCCAACTGGGGACCTAACCTGCCACCCAGGCATGTGCCCTGACTGGGAATCAAATTGGCAACCCTTTGGTTCACAGGCTCGCACTGAATCCACTGAGCCATACCAGCCAGGGCTGTTCATAGTTTTTATCTTTTTCTTTTTCTTAAATAAATCTCTTTGACATTTCATATAATAATGGTTTGGTAATGATGAACTTTTTTAGTGTTTTCTTGTCTGGGAAGCTCTTTATCTGCCCTTTATTGGTTCTAAATGATAGCTTTGCTGGGCAGAGCAATGTTGGCTGTAGGTAGTTGTGGGGGAAGGGCTCCACCTGCAGGACCCCCCCACCCCCACCCCCTGGCCACCATGGTGAGAATAAGTCTACCAAGACATGATCTGCTTGGGGAGGAAAGGTGGCCAATCTGTTGAAAGAGAAGGGCCAAGAGCCTTTTCCTCAATGGGCTTTTATTGAGTTCATTTTGCACAGGAATACAGGTAAAGCTCATTAGTCACTGTTAGGCAGTAAGGATCAAACAATAGATAGCATACAAAGAACTATGAGGGCTTATTATGAGTCAGGGTCTATTGGCTAAAGGGCTACAAAACTTTGGGAAACAAAGTCATTTTCTGCTTGGACCCTTATCATTTAGTTGAGAACATTCTTAGTAAAGCAGGTTTCACAGGATTTTCTATATTCTTTCTTAGATCTGATTGCCCCAGGAACCTGCCCTTTCCAGACAGGGCTGCACTGCCCTCTGTCATTGTTTCAGGCTTAAGTCAGGCAGGGGAAGTAAGGCAGCCAAGAGATAAGGAGACTTCTTGCAGACAGAATGAGGACTAAGGCTATGTCAAAGTGGAAGGGTGAGGGTCCATCACCTCCTTTTACTATAGCCCCCCCCAAGTCCTTCTCTGGGGGTCCTCTGATTGTTTCTGTCTTACGTCATCCCTCCCTTGAGGAATCTTACCCATCATTGGCTAACTGATCAAGCATTGAGGGCCAGGCAGGGTGAAGTAAAAGGGGCAGAGTTGGCACCCCTGCCAGGGAGATAAGTTTTGTCTCCTTAGTGGCTTATGGTCTGAAGGTTGCTCACTCAGCCTTAGACATGGGGGGTTTACAGCTTCTGAAACCAGGCAGGGCAGTTCCTAACAGGTAGGTTCCTGCTTTTCATGACTTCGAATATTTCTTGCCAATCCCTTCCAGCCTGCAAAGTTTCTTATGAGAAATTAGCTGACAGCTTAATGGAAACCCCCCTGTAGGTAACTAACTTATTTTCTCTTGCTGCTTTTAAGATTCTCTCTTTTTGTTTAACCTTTGTCATTTTAATTATGATATGTCTTGAAATGGGCCTCTTTGCATCTACCTTGTTTGGGAGACTCTGTGCTTCCTGGACATGTATGTCTATTTCCTTCACCAAATTAAGGAAGTTTTTTCATTATTTTTTCAAATAGATTTATAATTTCTTGCTCTTTGTCTTCTACTGGCACCCGTATATTGCAGATATTGGACCTCTTGAAGTTGTCCCAGAAACTGCTTATACTATCCTCGTTAGTTGGATTCTTCTTCTTGTTCTGATTGGTGTTTTTTTGCTTCCTTATGTTCCAGATCATTGATTTGATTCTCGGCTTCATCGACTCCACTGTTGTTTCCCTGTAACTTGTTCTTTATTTCAGGTAGTGTAACCTTCCTTTTTTGCTGGATCTTTTTTATGCTGTTGAGGTCCTCACTAAGTTCCTTGAGAATCTTTATAACCAGTGTTTTGAAGTCTGTATCTGAGAGATTGCTTTTCTCCATTTTGTTTAGCTCTTCTTCTGGAGTTTTGATCTGTTCTTTCATTTGAGCCATGCTTCTTTGTCTCCTCATTTTGGTAGCCTCCCTGTGTTTGTTTCTATGTATTAGGTAGAGCTTCTGTGACTCTGTGTCTTGGTAGTGTGGCCTAATGTAGTAGGTGACCTAGAGGATCCAGTGGCATAGCCTCCCCTATCACTCAAGCTGGGTACTTGAGGTTCACCCTCCATGTGGGCTGAGTACACCCTCCTCTTGTAGTGGAGTCTTGGTTGCTGTTGGCAGATCAATGGGAGGGATTTACCTAGGCCAGTCAGCTGCAAGGATTGGCTGTGACCACTTACCCCAACCTCTTCCCTCTGTGGAGGATCAGCTGTGCAGGGGCAGGGTCGTGGTGCTCTGACCAATGTGGTCTGTAGGTATCCACTGGGTTTGTTGGCCCTGGGGTTTCCTGGATGGTACAGGCCAAAGTCTGTTCTCACTTGAGTTTTGCCTGGGGCCACCCTGCCTGAAGTATGAAGCAATCTGAAATGGATGATACTTATACTGGGCTTGGATATTTCCAGGCAAAGTCAAGCTGTGAATCTAGGCTGGCTACTGCTATTACTGAGCCTGGGATTCACTGAGGCCAGTTGTTGCTGGTTTGAGAAGATTTAGGAAGTTGTGTAGCAAGAGCCAAGACCAACCATTCATATGGAAAAGCAGCTTTGATGGGCTGATAAGTTGGGTGGGGTGGAGTCTCTAGGGATCTCCAAGGTGGGTCAAACATTGTTAACCAGTTTGATGGAGTCTCAGATACAGCCTGCTGACTCTGTGGTTGGAGGACCTAGAAAAGGGACAATGGCTTCTTCTTGCCTTGATGCCAGATACCTCAGCCTTCCCCTGCATTACACTGGTGCCTCGTAAGCCACCACCCTGGCACTGGAGCTCAGGGGGAGTGAGTCTGGGTAGGTGAATCCATGCGTGGGTCCTTCAAGAGGAACTGCTTGGAGCTTGGGTAGTTTCTTCTACCAACTCAATCCTTGCTGGGTTTTGCAGCCAGAAATTGTGGGGGCTTACATTTCTGGTATTGGAACCCTGGGCTGGTGGGCCTGATGTGGGGCTGGGACTCTTCTCTCCCAAGATAACCCTCCCAAATTTTTATCCACCACACATGTGGGGGACCATTCAGAGTCTGCTGTGTTCTTCCTACCAGTATGGATGAATGTGGTTTCTTTAATTCTGTATTTGTCAGACTTCTATTCAACTCAATTTCTGATGGTTCTGAGTGATCGTAGTTTTATATTTTAGATGTAATTTTGATGTGGTTGTACGAAGAGGTGAGCCAAGCCTGCATATGCCAACTTCTTGATCAGAAATCCCTATTATCATCCATATTTTCTAAAATAATATTTTGAATTTTACTTTAAACTGTAACATACCCCAATGCGAGCAAATGTCAGAAGCCTTCAGGAGTTTAAGATGGAACTTTATTGGCCAAAGTTTCAAAGTTTTACCTGCGTAGGGGCGAACTCTCGGGGTGCCTCCGGAGACACACGAGTGCCAAAATGGCTGCAAATGAGAGTCGCACCTAACGCTTACAGCCTGGGGTTCTTACAGAGGCGAGCAAGCAAGCAATTTCTAGAGGCGAGAGGTGGCCGTTAGCCGTTGGTCAGGGGCTCAAGCTAGGGCTCGTGATCTTGCTGATGATTGGCCTGCAAGGTGTATGAACAGCTCGTGCTCAGGTTAGCTATTGGCCTAGGGGCTCATGCTCTACCGACTGAGCTAGCTGGGCTCATGCTAGGGGGTAAAAAAACTTCCAGGAGGCTATCCGCTTGACTAGTTATTACTTCATTGTTCTTTTCTTAACTTCTTAACTTCCTGGAGTATCTGCCCGAGGTGGGGTGTGCGGTTTCCCCCACGCAAGCTTGAGCAAGCAGCTAAGGTTGAACAAACAACTTAGTTTTCTTAAGACTATTTCCCTTAGCCCCTAACATAAACCAATTTCAAAAATCATGATGGACTTTGCAAAGTCACCTCTGAAGAATGGAGGTTTTACTTACCTGCTGTTCCTTGTGGCATGAATAGCTTCCATCTCTAGCCCTGCTCTTCCCTAGCCTTTTGGCGATGAGCCCTTTGTCTAACTCCTTTGGTTTTCTACCTTCTCCAGAATGATTCCTGGCCATCTCTGGATTCCAGTAATAGCTCCCTTTGTTTTTCTATTTTCTGACTTACACTTGGTATCTATAGTTCATTCTTTACACCCTTGATTCTAGACCAGGTTTTTGTCCTTATGTCTAATGCAAAGATGGTTGTCTAATGGAAGCTGGATTCCTTCCTCTTTCCCTCCCTCCCTTTCCCTTCCTCCTTTCCTTTCCTTTCCTTCCCTTCACAGCTATTTATTTTGCTCTTACCATAGGCAAGATGTGTAGGGTGGGGTTTTCTTCATAGGAGTGTGCGAAAGGAGAAGTGCTGTCCTGTACCTTTCCCTTCCGGCCCAGGTAGGGAACGCTGGCAAGCATGGGAGCCACTCATTGCTGCTAGAGGGTGAAGCTGTATGATTTGGCATTCCTGGCAGTGGAGGAAGGCATTTTACAGGGGTCTTTAGGAGAGATTTCTGATCAGAATCTGCTTAGAGCTAGGCAGAATCACAGAGGTGGGCCAGCTAGGATTGGTGGAATGTTAGGACAGTCCTGAGAAGCAGTATGGAGGCCTTACAGAGGCAGAATGGCAGTGTGTACATACAGGAAAGCGGCAGAGCTTAGAAGGCCCCTGAAAGTTGGAAGATGGAGGTAGAAGAGCAGGATAGGCATGGCCTCATCCCAGGAAGTCAGATAGGAGGGAGGTGATGGGTAAGGCCAGGCATTCAGGTACTGTCCAGGAAAATGGAGACTGAGGGCCCTTTGCACTGAGAGACTCTGAGCTGGTGGTGGCCCAGCAGTGTGTCTCAGAGGAATAATGAGCAGAAAAGGAAGCTGGCAGTGTTGTTTAGCAGTGGACAGGAAGTGGAGGAAGGGAATATAAAGTTTCTTATGAAGAGGAAGAGGAAAAGTGAAGCATTTAGGGGGACATAGTGTGTTAACTCATCTGTAAAAGGTTTTCTGGGTCTTCCAAATAAACTCGTTCTTCGTCCTTGTCCTCTTCCTCCCCCAATCTATTAATTTCTCTGATATTCTCTATGTAATTCCCATTAGCTGCAGTCATTTCTGAGGCACACTTTGGGAGGCTGGGGGACACTGTGCTGGTACTGTGAACAGGCAGATCACCAAGTCTTTTCTTTGATTTCATGGTATATTATTAGGCATGTTGATAAGCCACAGTATCTCTGGAACCTTAAGGTTTTGCTGTGTCCTTTCTCATAACTCTAAAGTGAATAATAAAATGGTATTCATTTTGTCTAATCAAAATGTTAGGCTGTTAAATGCATTGATCATTAAAAGGGCTTATGCTTAGGGCTTCTAAGCTTTTCAAAGGCCTCAGGAAATGATTCAGACCTCAAAAAATATGAGACACCAAAGTACCAATGGTAGACCATAGAGGCAGAGAATAAATGGTGAGATGTTTCCAGGACATAATGGGAGGGCAGACACAGCTAACCAATTTTGAAAGTATTTTACATTATGTAATTTGCAGTGCAGGTGTAGTCTGTGCTTGTTATAAGGGAAGGCGAGGACTCAGAGAGTGTGCCTGTTCTTAAAAAGGGCCTGTTCATTTTGTTTTGGCATCTGGTGCATTTCTTTGAGCTTTATTCTTCAAGTGCATTAGTCTGTGAAGTCCCCAGAGGTGTTTGATTCGTTGTATCTGTTTATCTGTGTAACTGTGTCTAGCAGAGTCCCAGGTATGTGTATTTAATCAGAAGGAGCTGGTGGTGTGGAAATCTTGGATTTCTTTACCCCTGTGACTAGATTTTCTGAAACTGTGTACACTCCTTAATGTACACTCCATAAACATCTGTCTCATTTTCATAAGCATTGTTTTGATGCCTGTTGAGATCTGTGTTGCAGTTGATGACTTTAAGATTCTTTATTTAAACTTATGCCCTTATGTTCTCTTCCTTCCCCAGGTAGATGTGCTCTTTAAGGATGGCTCTCTTCTGAGCAGCAGGACCACTTTCTACAAGTAAGGCCTTCTTGGAGATAACAGGGTTGGTTCACCTCAGGTGCCCACCATCAACTGAAGTCCTGCAGCCTCAGTTTTAGGTGGTCCCAGAATACCTCCCATTGAATACAAAGTATGTTATTTTTTGGTACACTTTTTCTTTGGGACAATTCTATGATTTTATCAGATTTCTGAAGGTGTCTGCAACCCATTCAGAGCCACTGCTCACCCACTTCCCCAGTGTTACTTTTCCTAGAGCCACAGCTATGACCTATGTGATGATAGGTCCCGTTCAGAGTCTTTACCCTCTCCAGTTTCAATGCATTCCAAAGCCTTCTGTCCATTTCACTTACCTTTCCCCTCACACTCAAATTCTTGATTTCATTTGGAGGCAACACTGCTCACCTAGTCCCAGGAGACCCAGGCCCAGGGATGCCAGGGTGGCACCCTCTGGGCATCTCCTCAGGCTATCTGGATGCCAGAACCTGCCTTCCTTACCTGGATCTCTCCATGCTGGTCCCCACTTGAGTGAATCAGAGCTGATGAATCCCAGACCCACTCAGTCACCCCTCCTTTGCTGCTGAGAGGTCTGAGCTATAACCTTTCTATGTGTCTGGTGCTGTAGCCGCTCATGTCTGCATTCTTTCTCATCAGGACCTCCTCGTGGCAGCCTGCTCTCCCTATTTCCCCTCTTGTCTCCAGTTTATACTGCCACACATTAGGTGCCAACATTTCTGAAGAAAATGAAAATTTGTGTCCCATCCTGTGGCTTAAAACTTTCAAATGAGTTTTTGGCCACCTAGAAGGTGCAGTCCCAGTGTCCCAGCAAGGCTTTTCCTGTTTGGGGCACTTTCAGCCTCAGCTTTGCCTGGTGATACCCTGGCTCCAAACTGACCTCTTCCATGCCCTCCCTACTACCCCAACACCTCCAGGGGCCCCATCCAGGCTGAGTTAGGGCCCTGCCTCCCTCATGCCCTGCGCACTTCCATTCCTGTAGACACACTGGTATTACCATATAATTCTCTGTGGACATGCCCACTTGCCGGGCAGACTGATGAGCTCCTTGAGGTAGGCTCTGGGTCATTATTCCTGTTTTTGTTCCCAGGGCCAAGTGAAGATACAGGTATATAGTAGATAGTCAATAAACAACTGTTGAATTTGGCAGTGAGTGAATAAAAAATGAATGAACATCTAAAAGCATTTTTTCAAAACCTCTATTTGTCATAAGAGCATGGGGTGATTTGTAATAGCTAACATTTAAGTGTGACCATTTGTCAGACAATTTTATCAGCCCTTAAATGAGGACAACTCATTTAATCTTCACAACAAATGTCAGTGAATACTGTTATCATTTTCCCTGTTTTGTCAAATGGGAGCGCGGAGGCTGAGTGCCATTGATAGAGTGTATGGAACATATCTTGTAATCACATGTGGTCAGATGCCTAAATTGTGACCCTCTTGAGAAGAAGGTTCTCCTTTAATATTTTATTCTATTTAATTTTTTTACTACTCTTGTCTCTAGTACTAGCACCGTGCCTGGCATGCAATAGGTCACAGGTGTTTTTGAGGGACACTCTGACTTGGCTGCCTCTCGCGGTCTGGTAGTATGAGGATTGGGCAGGTTTGGCTTCACATTTGGAGTTTCTGTCTTACTCTAGAGTATAATGGAGTTTGTGTTGATTTTTGTTGGTAGCATGGTTTGTTTAGTCTTGGCTGCCTCTTTCCTTTTTTCCTTTCCACTGTCCTTATTCTCTTTGGTCATGCAATCCTAACTCCATTCCCATGGCTTGAAGCTGACCTCCTGCCCTTAGGGCCCTGGGACTGATGTGGCTTCAGAAAGTCCCCTGCTCTGGGGGAAGGAGCCACTTTCCCATCCTGCTTTTTTGTAGTCCTGAGGCAGGCTAAATAAAACCTGGACCCATGGGGCTTGCTTTCCACATTTCATGGGCTTTAGAACAGGAAGGAGTCCAAGATCATCTGACTAATTGTCTACCTGTGCACATGAGGGAACTGAGGCCCAGGGAGAAGTCATGTCCAAGGTTACATTGCCCTGTGGCAGCAGACTACTGACTTGGACTTAGAATCATTAAATGTTCTTTGCTCACAGTTAATTTGAAATTTTGTTTCGAAATGCTCTCTGTATGAGTGCAGCCTTTCACTTGCCTGACTAGTAGTCAAACAAGCCTGATCTTGTAACTAAGTGAAGTAATAGCTGGCATCTTCATTATTTTTATAGTTCCTTTATTTTTGTTTTTGATAAAGTACAAGTCATTGACTATCCTGGAACTAGTTATTGGGAAACATTTTAACCCTTTATTTTTTTCTTCTCTGGCAGGGAGACTTAAAACACAGGCTGTAAAATGTCAAAGCCTTCTATCTTATTTTAATAAACTGAGTATAGTTTAAAGGTAAATATGATAATATAATGAATCTAGGCTAATTTGGGAGAAGGCCAGTTTATAGGTATAAAAGTCAAAATTACAGGACATGTAAGGAATGCAGTCTTACTGCTCTGGGTAGGTGTTCAGGCTTGAGCCAGGCATATCAATCCTTTTTCTCACACTGCGGGTAATCTGAGGAGAACATAAGTGGGGGTGTCTCTCATAATTGGAGTCTTTTTCCTACATTTATTTGAAAGGCACAGTATAACATTTTTATACCTTTAAAAAATAATGTGGTTTATTATTATTTTTTAATATATTTTGTTGATTATGCCATTACAGTTGTCCCATTCCCCCCTTTATTCCCCCCCACCCTGCACACCCCCTCCCCCCATTCCCCCCCTTTAGTTCATGTCCATGTGTCACAAGTACTTTAGATTCTATATTTCCCACACTATTCTTGCCCTCCCCCTGTCTGTTTTCTACCTAACATCTATGCTACTTATTCTCTGTACCTTCTTTCCTCTTCTCCTCCTCCCACTCCCCCCTGTTGCTAACACTCCATGTGATCTCCATTTCTGTGGTTCTGCTCCTGATCTAGCTGTCTGCTTAGTTTGCTTTTGTTTTAGGTGTGGTTGTTAATAACTGTGAGTTTGCTGTCCTTTCACTCTTCATGGTTTTTATCTTCTTTTTCTTAGATAAGTCCCTTTAACATTTCATATACTAAGGGCTTAGTGATGATGAACTCCTTGAACTTGACCTTATCTGAGAAGCACTTTATCTGCCCTTTCATTCTAAATGAAAGTTTTGCTGGATAGAGCAATCTTGGATGTAGGTCCTTGCATTTCATGACTTGGAATACTTCCTTCCATCCCCTTCTTGCCTGCAATTTTTCTTTTGAAAAATCAGCTGACAGTCTTATAGACACTCTTCTGTAGGTAACTGTCTCCTTTTCTCTTGCTGCTTTTAAGATTATTTCCTTCATTTTAATTTTGGCTAAAGTAATTATGATGTGCCTTGGTGTGTTCCTTCTTGGGTCCAACTTCTTTGGGACTCTCTGCGCTTCCTGGACTTCCTGGAAGTCTATTTCCTTTGCCAGATTGGGGAAGTTCTCCTTTATTATTTGGTCAAATAAGTTTTCCACTTGTTGCTGTTCTACTTCCCCTTTTGGTACCCCTATAATTCGGATGTTGGAGTGTTTAAAGATGTCCCGGAGGTTCCTAAGCTTCTCCTCATTTTTTTTTTTTTTTTGAGTTCTTGTTTCTTCATTCTCTTTTGTTTGGTTGTTTCTTTCTTCCTTCTGATCTACTCCATTGATTTGAGTTCCAGTGTTCTTTTCATCACTATTGGTTCCCTGTGCATTTTCCTTCATTTCACTTAGTGTAGCCTTCATTTTTTCATCTAATTTGTGACTAAAATCAACCAGTTCTGTGAGTATCCTGATCAGTGTTTTGAACTGTGCATTTGATAGGTTGGCTATCTCTTGGTTGCTTAGAAGTATTGGCTCTGGGGCTTTGAACTGTTCTTCTTGAGCCATAATGTTTTGGTCTGTTTGCGCCTGTTACATATGTGGTGCTGAGCCTTAGGTGTTCACCAGGGCCAGGCAACTCAGTCACTGGGTTGTGATGCTGTATGTGGGGGTGGGGTCAGAAAAGGGCAATGGTGTTTTTTCTGCTGTCTTGGATTTCGGTCCCCTCTGCTACTTTCCACAAGCAAACTGGGCCCTTCTGGTGCTGGTTCCCAGGTATGTTGGCCTGTGCACCCTCTAGGACCCTGTGGTTCTCTCCAGTGAACTGTCTGTAAGCCTGGGAGCCTCTCCTGGCACCTCGACCCCCGAAAGTTTTTCCAATTGGTGCTTTTAGGCTTTATTTCCCGGCACTGGGGCCCTGGGTTGCACGGTCTGTCTCACTGCTCGTTCCTTTGCCTGGTTTATCTCCGCGTGAATGTATGACCACAGTCAGCCAGCCACCTTGCGCCCTAATTGGGTCCGCCCGTTGCCACCCTGCATCTGGGATCTGCCAACTGCCGCCTGCGTGCCTGGATTGGTCCGGCTGCTTTTTCCTGCTGCAACCCCTCTCTGCCAGCCACTGACTCTGCCCCTCTTACTGATCTGGATGAATGGTTCGTTGTTGTCAGACTTTGGTACAGTTCAATTTTCTGTTCTGGTTGCGTTCTGGTTTCTAAATCTTTATTGTTCATAAACTTGGCTGTGTGAGGAGGTACAGTATTTCCACCTATGCCTCCATCTTGGCCAGAAGTCCACATTTTTATACCTTAATGCCACTTCTTAAATAGAATGTTTTTTCACTATTCACCACTATTTAAAGATTGCATGTCATTATAGTCTAAATTAGTGATGTCTTGGTTAAAATATTTTGTGTTTGTAATTAACATATAACTACTGATAAGAATATAGGCCAATGTAATCTCCTATAAAAATTAAAGGGCAGGTTTTTTCAACGCATGAAATTATCAAAGTATGGTCTGCTCTGGACATTGCTGCATTTAGTGAAATCTGGTAGAGGATAACTGTTTCTATTGTTCATATTTTTATTCATTCCACAAAAACTTATTAAGGGCTTCTGGGTGCCAAGTGCAGTGCCAGATGCTGTGGGCACAGTGGTTTCTGCCCTCAAAAGAGGTGGTGGGTACAGTGCAGTGCTGTGTCTGTCACTGGGGTTGGGGAGTCAGTTTGGTAGAGAGAGTTTAGTTTGGGGCTTGTTGAGTTTGAGGTACTCAGGAGCCCTGAGTAGATTCATGCAAAAGTTCTCTGGAGGTCCAAGACTGGAACTTATTGTACATTAAGGTCCCCACTTGGGTGCAACTAACAGGAACACTCAAAAAATAAGAGAGATTATACTGAACATTAGCTTCATTTGAGCTTGAGGAGTTTAGAAAGTAGGCAAGGTTGAGTTTTTTCTTTTTCACATTCAATTGCTATCTTAGTGACCTTGTTTTTGTAGATAAGGGAATGGTATGGTCTCCTTTCAGCATGAAACATGTGCCTAATTTGATTATACCTCTGCCTGTATGTGGACAAAGCATTACAAAATTAAAATAATAAGTTACTAGGACCTCGGTTTAATACATAGTCCTATCATTGATCTATGCTGTTGTAGCTGATTGTATGTTGGTATGCCTTCTAAGCTACATGGAGGGAAGGGGGAACTGTGAAGGTTTAGCTACTTTGTGATATAATTGATGCATGCTTACGATAGAAGTTTTATTTTATTTTTTAATTGAAAATTTTTATTTTAATTGTTGTTCAAGTACAGTTTTCTGCCTTTTACCCCCATCCTAGCCCACCCCTCCCCCAGTGCTTCCCACCTCTGTCCTGTTTCCACCTCCTAGTTTTTGTCCATGTGTCCTTTATACTAGTTCCTATAAACCCTTCCCCTTTTCCCCTGAAATTCCCTCCCCTTTCCCCTCTGGTCACTGTCAGCCTATTCTCTCTATTTCAGTGTCTTTGGTTATATTTTGCTTGTTTGTTTTGTTGTTTAGGTTCCTGTCAAAGCTGAGATCATATGGTATTTGTCTTTAGCTTCAGAAAAGGGGAAACCACCCAACCACAAGAACCAACCCAATATTAATATATTTTTGTTATCTTTTTAATTCGTTTTTGGTGTATTTTCAGGCAGCTGTATAATTTTATACAAATGATTTTGTGTCTTACCTTTTAAGATGAAGGTGTGACTTTTGAGCTGGACCTGGAAATGTGGGGAGACTTTTGCACATGGGTCTGTTAGTGGGGTGCATTCCAGGTAGGAAACAAATCCACATAAGAGCTGCAAGCTGGTTTAGGGTCTAGTAAGTAACCGCTTTGGATGTAGTTTAGATAAAATTCATGCGAAATTTAAGTGGTATTCAAGACTACAAATGAATATAGGGACAGATAATACAAGTTTTACTATTTTTAAGTTGTTTGAATTTTTCCTTAATTCCATTAAAAAAATGGAATCCCACCACCCCCATTTTATATCCAGGAACATGATTACATTAATGATGTAGAGAGATTTACCCATCATTGTGACTTGGGGGTAAGGGTGGGGACAGGTATATAGTTTTAGAGATTTTTCTGGAATAGTAACATTTTTATTTTTTGTTTTTCTTCCATTCCTGTTTTTCCAGGAGAATATGAAAGTGTTACTCAGACTTGTTTGTTTCATAGCTCTACTCATTCCTTCTCTGGAGGCTGGTAAGTTAAGCATTTCTATGTATTATTATTTGCTGAGAGAATCTATTATTTAGAAATATGAAATACTTTATTTAACACACATTTTTCTTAACTTTTCTGTTGAATTCCATGACAGAGAGCCTCCTGGTAATGGCCTGAACTGCTGGGTATTTCTTTCATCATCTTTACTTCTCATTCTCTTCTTTATATATTAGGAAACTAAGGCCCAGTGAAGTTAAGAGCTCAAGATCATGTTCCTAGTTTCAGAGCAAGAGTTTAGATCCAGGTTTCCTGTGCCCAGTCCAGGCCTCTTCCCACTGTATTGCCCATTGGAGAGTATGGTACAGGAAATCCTGACTTTCATTCCAAAGAGGTGTTAAATGTAGTTCTTATGAACCCACAGCTGAACACCATCAAGTGACAGTGCTTTGTTTTCTTTATTTATTCGTTTTCACTCTTTCCCTCTCCCTCCCTTATTCCAAGTGCATTTAGCCCTTACCATGTGCCCGACACTAGGTGCAGGGGATAATGAAGTAACAAATCCAGACAGAAATACATGCCTGCAGATGGTTTACATTCTAGTAGGCTTAGAAAAGTAAATATTTATTGTCATATGGTAATACATGTAGAGAGAAAAACACAGGGATGGAAGATATAAAGTTTTGAGATTGCGGTGGGTGGAAGGTTAAATTTTTTTATTATTGTTCAGTTATAGTTTCCCCTTCTTTTCCCCAACTGCTCTCCCTTAACCCTGTTCTGCCCCCGCACTCCCACAGTCAATCCCTCCCCAATGTCCACACCTATGAGTCCTCTATTTGTGTTCCTTTGTTTGCCACTTCCCTTTCTTTCCCCTTGTAATCCCCCTCCTCCATCCCCTCTGGTGTCTGTCAGTTCTTTATTTCCAAGTGTCTGGTTCTATTTGGTTCATTTGTTTGTTTTATTGATTAGGTTTCACTTACAGGTGAGATCATGTGGTATTTGTCTTTCACTGCCTGGCTTATTTTACTTAGCATAAAGCTCTCCAGTTCAGTCAATGCTGTTGTGAAGGGTAGGATTTCCCTCTTTCTGCTGCATAGTATTCCACTGTGTAAATGTACAACAGTTTTTTAATCCCCTCATTTACTGATTGGCAGTTAGGTGTTTTCAGCACTTGGCTATTGTAAATAGTGCTTCTATGGACATTGGGGTGCATAGGTTCTTTTAAATTGGTTATTGAGGATTCCTGGGCATAGCCCTAGCAGTGGGATCACTGGATTGAAAGGTAGTTCCATCTTTAGTATTTTGAGGAAATCCCATGCTGTTTTCACAGTGGCTGCACCAGTCTGAATTCCCACCAACAGTGCACTAGGGCTCCCTTTTCTCCACAACCTCGCCAGCTCTTGTTGTTTGTTGATTTATTAATGATAGACATTCTGACTGGTGTGAAGTAGTAGTGTCTCACTGTAGTTGGCAAGTGATGTTGAGCATTTTTTTATTTGTCTGTGGGTCTTCTGTATATCCTCCTTAGAGAAGTGTCTATTCAGGTCCTTTGCTCACTTTTCCATTGGATTGTTTGTCTTATTGGTATGGAGTCATGTGAGTTTTTTATATATTTTGAAAATCAAACCCTTGTCCAAGGTATCATCGGCAAATATATTTTCCCCTACAGTTGGTTCCCTTTCCATTTTGTTGATATTTTCTTTTATCTGTGCAGAAGCTTTTTAGTTTGACGTAGTCCCATTTGTTTTTTCTTTCCTTTATGTCCCTTGCCTTAGGGGATGTATCATTGAAAATATTGCTCTGTGGGATATCTGAAATATTCCTGTGTTTTCCTCTAGGACTTTTGTGATGTTACACCTTATATTTAAGTCTTTTATCTTAAAGTTTCTTTTGAGTTATTTGAGAGTTTGAGAAATTCTCATCTTGAGTTTCTTTTGGTGTATGGTGTAAGTTGTTGGTCTAGTTTTGTTTTTTTGCATGTACTTGTCCAGATCTCCCAACACCATTTATTGAAGAGGCTACTTTTACATCTATTTGATGTTCCTGCCCTCTTTGTTAAATATTAACTCACTGTATTGACATGGGTTTATTTATGGGCTCTCTATTCTGTCCCATTTTTCTATATGTCTACTTTTATGCCAGTAACAAACTGTTTTGATTACAGTGACCTTGTAATATAGTTTGATATCAGGTATTGTGATCCCTCCTACTTCATTCTTCTTTCTAAAAATTGCTGGAGCTATTTGGGGTCATTTATGGTTCCATATAAATTTTTTAAATATTTATTCGGTATCTCTGAAATGTCATTATTATTTTGGTAGGGATTGTGTTGAATCTATAAATTGCTTTGGGTAGTATGGACATTTTGATGATGTTAATTCTTCCAATTCATGAACATGGTATATGCTTCCATTTGTGTCTTTCTTAACTTCTTTCTATAGTGTTCTATAGTTTTCTGAGCATAGATCTTTCAAATCCTTGGTGAAGTTTATTCCTAAGTATTTTATTTTTCTTGTTGTTATAGTAAATGGGACATTTTTTCCTAATTTCTGTTTCTGATATTTCAGTGTTGGTGTGAAAAATGCCTTTGATTTCTGAATATTGACTTTGTATCCCGCTGTTTCGCCAAATTCACATATTAGGTCGACTAGTTTTTTGGTGGAGTCCATAGAGTTTTCTGTGTACATTATCATGTCATCTGCAAACAGTGACAGCTTTACTTCGTCCTTTCCAATTTGGGTGCCTTTAGTTCTTTTTCTTCTCTTACTGCTGTGTCTAGAACTTCCATTACTATGTGGAATAGAAGTGGTGAAAGTGGACCCCCTTGCTTGTTCCTGATCTTGGTGGGAAAGCTTTTAGTTTTTGCCCATTGAATATGATGTTAGCTGTAGGTTTCTCATATATGGCCTTTATTATACTGAGGTATGCTACCTCTATTGCCATGTAACAGTTTTTTTCATAAATGGGTGCTGTACCTTATCAAATGCTTTTTCTGCATCTATTTATATGATCACATGATATTTTATTTATGTAATGTATTATGTTTATTGATTTGCAAATATTGTACCATCCTTGTATCCCTGGGCTGAACCCCACTTCATCATGGTGTATGATCTTTTCAATGTATTGCTGCATGTGGTTTACCAATATTTTATTGAGGATTTTAGCATCCATTTTCATCAGTGATATTGGCCTGCAGTTTTCTTTCTTTGTTATGTCTTATCTCGTTTTGGAATTAGGATAATAGTGGCCCCATGACAAGAGTTTGGGTATCCTCCCCCTTCTTGGATTTTTTAGAAGAATGTGAGAAGAATGAGGGTTAGCTCTTCTCTAAATTTTGGTGAAATTTTCCTGTGATTCTGTCCTGTCTAGGGCTTTTGTGTGAGAGGTCTTTTTTGCTTACTGCTTCAATATCACTAGCTGATATCAGTCTACTCAGGCTTTCTCCTTCGTGTTGACTAAGTTTTAGAGGATTATATGTTTCTTGGAATTTTCCATTGTGCCCTGGGTTTTCAAATTTCTTGGCATATATTTATTCATAGTAATTTCTTACAGTTATTTGTATTTCTGTGCTATCAGTTCTAATTTCTCCTCTTTCATTTCTGATTTTATTTATTTGAGTCCTCTTTTTTTTTCTTGATGGGTGTGGTTCAAGGCTTATTGATTTTGTTTCTCTTTTCATAGAACTGGCTTCTGGATTTATTGATCCTTTGGATTGTTCTTTTAGTCTCTATGTCATTTCATTCTGGTCTGATCTTGATTATTTCCTTCTTTCTACTTGCTTTGGGCTTTGTTTGTTGTTCCTCTAGTTCTTTTAGATGTAGGGTTAAGTCATTATTTGAAATATTTCTGTCTTTTTTAGACAGGCCTGTATTGCTATGTATTGCAGGCCTCTCAGGCCTGCATTTGCTCTGTCCCATAGGTTTTTGGTTGTTTCGTGTTCATTTTCATTTGTTTCCAGAAACTTTTTGATTTCTTTCTTGATCTCATTGTTTACCTATTTATTGTTTAATAACATTTATTGAATCTCCATGTTATTTGAATGTTTTTGAGTTTTTTCCTTGAGCTTGGTTTCAAGCTTCAAGTCATTATGATCCTAGACAATACTTGATATGATTTCAATTTTCTTGAATTTGTTGAAGCTTGTTTTATGTCCTGTCATGTGGTCTCTCTTTGAAAATGATCCATGTACATTTGAAAAGAATGCATATTTTGTTTCTTTGTGGTGCATGGTTCTATATATATCAGTTAAACACATTTGATCTAGCATGTCATTCACTGCAACAATGTCTTTGTGGTTTTTTATTTGGAAGATCTATCCATTTTTGACAGTGGGGTGTTAAAATCTACTAAAGTTGTATTACTGTCTATATCTTTCTTGAAGTCTTCTAAGATTTTCCTTATATATTTGGGTGCTGTAATGTTGGGTGCATATATGTTTACAATGTTTATAGCTTCCTGATGGATTCTCTCTTTTAGAATTATGAAATGACCTTTTTAGTCTCTTTCTATGGTCTTTGTTTTGAAATCTATTTTGTCTGATATAAGTATTGCTACCTTGGATTTTTTTTTTTCTGTTTGCTTAGAATATTTTTTTCCAATTTTTCACTTTAAGTCTGTGTAGGTCTTGTGTTCTCAGAAGGGTCTCTTGTTGACAGTAAATTCGGGTCATGTTTTCTTATCCATTCTGCTACCCTATGTCTTTTGATTGGAGTGTTTAATCCATTTACCTTTAAGGTTACTACTGATAGGTACTTATTCATTGCCATTTTTTCAGAAGGTTAAATTTTTTGATAGTGTGATCAGAAAAAGCTCACTAAGAAGTTGACTTTTGAGTTAAACTTGAAGGAGAGACCTATACAAATATGAGGTTGGAGATGAAAATAATATTCCAGGCATCATGTACCAAGGTCCTGAGGACAATTGTACTGACATGTTCCAGGAGGTAGCATACCACTGTGGTTGGAGTAGAGTGAAAGATGAAGGAGGTGATAAAGGATTTCGGCAATAATACTGTCAAATGCAGATATGCTAAGTAAAAT